TTCATCCCTTGTTCAAACGGGCTCTTTGAAGAGTTTCAGGAAAGACTAGACTAGATAAGATTTACCACTTAGCAAGATCTCTTTGGCTGCAGTGTAAAGAGTGGATTAGGAGTAAAACTGGAAGTAGGGAGACCAATTAGGTAGCTGATGTAGAAACCCAGGTGAGTGGCCTGAAGTAAAATGGTGGGATAAAAAAGAGAGAGAGAGACTGAGGTTGACTGAGATTCGAGAAGTATTAAGAAGTAAAAGGGATAGGATAGGATTTGGATATTGTTTGGAGGTGAAGGTGAGGAGGTGAGGGATAAAGCAAACAAGATAAGGATAACAGCACCTAAAGTTCCATGCTGGGCAATTCAAGACTATTGAAATAAGCATATAGAAGCAGAAACATGCTTGGGAGAAAAGATAATTAATTTTAGACATGTAGTATTTGAGAGGGAGTCCCTGGCTGGTCCAAAATGTTAATGCAGTCAGTTGCTAACTGAAAGGTTGGAGGTTAAGTTCAAGTCTACCAGAGGTGTCTTGGAAGAAAGACTTGTCGATCTACTTCAGAAAAATCAGCCATCGAAAACTCTGAAGCACATTTCTACTCTGACACACATGAAGTCACCATAAGTCAAAATAGATTTGATGGCAACTGTTTTATTTGTTTAGTATTTGAGAGGCTCTGGATGGACATCTGAGTAGGTAAGTCTAGTAGGCAGTTGGAGATAGAGATTTGGGAACCAAACAAATAGTGAATACCCTGTAGCAATGTGTAGAATAACAAAAGGAGAAGTCTCAACCTGAAAAATTACCAACATTTAAGGAATCAACTGAGGAAATTGATACTGGAAGTGCTTTCTTAATGCAGTGCTATTAAGAAACTTTGTTAAGACAGTTCTGGTAAACGGAAAGATGAATTTGGAGTGAAATACTTGGGCTCAAGCCTTGGGTTTTCTATTTATTAACAATGTTATTTTGAGAAAGTGATTTACTCACTCTTAGACATCTACAAAGTGGGAATAATGATATTAATATGCATTTCATAGGGTGTCAAGGATAAAATAAAAAGGATTTTGTTAACATGATGTGTGTGTGTATATATATATACATAGGAGCTAGGTGATGTACTGAATACCTCAGTGGCGTAGAGAACCTTGTAAATAGGTGTAAATATTGTTCATATTATGAAAACAAGATAACCAGAGGGTTATGTTTTCTTAGGAGTTTGTTGCAAACAGAGATCCATAAGTAGTTCTTTGGGATATATTGGAAAGAACAGGCAAAAAATAACTTTTACAAAGTCCAGAAATCTGAATTCAAAGAGTTTAAAAATCGATAATTAGTAATGATATTAGTGATACTGAACAAGGAATATATTTTACGTATTTGTTTTCATAGTGATAAACAAAACAAAGCTATTTATCTGATAAATATACCATCATAAAAGATTGAAAGGTGTATTTATTATTCATGAGGGAGTATGCAGTGGCTGGGAACTAAAGAAAAATATTGGTATGACAAACCTAGTAATTTGTACAAAATAAATTAAGGGTATTTTTCTAAAATAATCATTATTAGATATCATAGCCCTTTACAGCCATGAAAACTTTGAAGTCCACACAAATGTGTGTGTATTTCCTCCTGTCATCGTCAACAACCTCTCTAAGATCACACAGCGTTCCTACCAGCTTCGCACCCAGAGGTACATTTCCACTGTAGCTCTCACTGTGATACTCACAGATGATGGTCAGGACCAACCAATCCCCTGAATTTTAAATATGCAGGCATCCTTGGGACACCTTTTCTTTAGTGTTCCTAATCTTCTGAACAAACTGTTTGGCACTATTTAAAGTTGTTCTATAAATATGAGTAAATCCGGCAAAAAAGCAAAATAACTCTTAGCAGTAAAGCTGTTGGTTAGATGGCATTTTAAATCATTTTCACCCCCACTGATAGAGATGACTTCAGCTCACTGCCATCTGAAAGCATTAATAAATATTTATAAAGTACTCTACTCCACTGAGATGTTCAGAACATCACACTGCTCCAATAGACTACAATTTCAGGCTACATACAGTAAAATGGGCAGGATAAAAAGTAAGCAAAAATAAACTTCAGACTAGATCATTTGTTCACAGACTGTGTTCTAAAATAGCCACATAAGAGAACCATTTGCAGTTTCCACTCCTGGGTGGAACTTCCACATTACTAAAAATGATACCACCTCACAAGTTAAGTGGTTCAAAGAATATTCCTAATTCGTTAGGGATGTGACAAGGAGTTGGTCAGGTATACTACCACCAGCTTGGGAAAGGAAAGATAGGCCATTTGTTCATTTTTATGCTGCAGTTTGTTCGTTTCTTATCAGACTTCTAGTTAGAATGAAAAATGTTTCCATTATCAGGAAGACTTTTTTTTTTTTTTTTTTTTAACTTAAAGTCTGTTTTAAAACCTCACAGCAACCCTCACTATTCTGGAGAGCATTATTATAATAGGAATTATGAAATGAAGCAATAGCTACCGTCTGGTGCTATGGCTTTGCCTGCTTAGTGATAGAAGAGAAACGTAGTATTCTTGATGAAATAAAGTTAAAAGTGCCACTTCCACCAATGAGTACTATTTGGATATTCTTCAGGAAAAATAGATTGAGGAATCAGCCTGTTTTTCCAATTAACATATCCAACTGTACATTTTATTCCCAAAAAGAAAAAGAATTTAGGCTATCACGCTGCCAAGTTCCCATTTTTTCCATACAACTTTATTACTCCAATGACTTTCCTTTTGACCATTTATACTTTAGGCAAATAAACTGAATTAAACCAAAACCATATCCTTTGCCATTGAGTCAATTCCAATCCACAGCGACCTTGTAGGACACAGTAGAACTGCCCCATAGGATTTCCAAGGAGCGGCTGGCGGATCTGAACTGCCGACCTTTTGGTCAGTAGCGTGAGCTCTTAATCACTGCGCTACCAGGGTCACAAACTGAATTAGTTGATAGTTAATACACTGTACTTCCTCTTTCAGAAGCTATTTTGTATTCTATTCTAAATGTAGTGGAGAAAAAAAGGGGGAAAAAAATCATTTTCAGCATATAGTGTATTTTCACAAGAAATTTCTCTCCAATTAGCCCCTAACCAATGCAACTCTTTTTATAAGATAGAGGAGCTTGACAAAATTACTCCTGCCTCAGCAAAATACATCATCTTGTCTCTCATCCACTTCTGTGGAATCAAAGCTTCCAAGCATTTAGCCCCCTTATCCAGCACCCTCCTCAGGGGCCTACCTATGGAAAACAGCACCTACGCCAATTAGTTTTAAATTGCTGAATGATCTCTCACAGCTGGCGATGGAAACTGCCATGGCCAATAGAAACTGCTCATTAGCACCCCTACTCAAGTGGTGCCCAGAGCACACGCCCTACCTGCCATACCTTAGCTGTGCCTCTGAGTCCCTCCTCCATCTGCATGGAATGTCAAACTTGCCTGCCCTTCAAACCCCTTTGCTGGTGCTCCTGGTTTGCCTCAAGACCACCCTACTCCACACAGATTCAGAACCTAATAAATGGTTGTAAAATGGCTGTGTCAGACCTTGCCTAACTTCAGGGGTAGGAGAGAGAGTCAACATCAGCCCAAAGCTGATTCCTATGAGGTGGAAGTCAGACATCCCTCCACTGTCAAACCTTTTACCAATGCTGTCCCTCCCACGGCACTTTCTACTTCTCTGCTGGGTTCGATAATTTGTTGCAATGGTCACACAGAACTCACAGACCATACTTGCGATTATGGGCTTTATTAGGTTACAATTCAGCATCAGGATCAACTTGAAGGTAAAAGGAACAACTCAGGTTACATACAGTTCTTTAATCGGGACAGCTTTTTTGGCAGTGTCTGCAGGCAGGCCTCTGCTGCTAGCCCTGCTCAGGCCTAGTCTCTCATTCTTGGCCTCAGCACTGGCCCTTGCCCTTGGCCCTCACTCTTGGCCTGCCTGGCCTCTTGCTCTCAGCCTGGCCCTCACTCTTGGCCTGGGTCTAGGAGGTTCCCAGCTCAGGGGCCCTGGATCCCTACTACTCCTCCTGGCTTTTCTTTTTGATGCTACTGAGGCCCCCCTCCAACCTCTGGATTGGCTCCCTTTAAGCCTAGTGGGATGGTAAAACTGACCAATCGCCTACAAGTGTTTCATGCACCTTATTTGCATAGTCCAATCCCCCCAAATTTTCCATGTATCTTATTTGCATTAGTAGGCTGTCCAATCCCCATGGTGAGTCACAAGAACCTTATTTGCATAGTACCACCCAATCATTTTGTAGGAGTTACAAGACCATGGCTAGAAGGGCCATATAATAGCAATTCACTGCACTAGTTCTAACAAGCCCCAATAAAATTTGCATTGTGGAAATTTCATTCTAAATAAATCACTAAAGGATTTGTTTTATACAGTATTTTCACCTAATAGTTTGCTGTATCTACAACAGCAACATATTTCTAGTACTGGCTCTCTACTGTTATTTGCTACATGGCATTTAATTCAGTTTATTAACAAACATACTTCCTCCTTCCATCTTATGGTCTCACCCTCTGTTTCATTCTTTTCTCCCTTCATTCAAATCCCTAAGTGGATCTTTGAAAGACCTAATCATTTTCCCAACTAAAATATGTAGTCTTCTAATCCTTCTAGTCCTTACATGAACAGTAAAGAAGTGAAGGTTCACCTTGCAGCCAAAGATTAGACAGGCCCATAAAACGAGACTAAATGGGCACACCAGCCCAGGGGCAAGGACGAGAAGGCAGGAGGGGACAGGAAACATGGTAAAAGGGAATCCAATGTGGAGAAGGGGAGAGTGTTGATATGTCCTGTGGTTGGCAACCAATGTTACAAAATAACATGTTTATTAACTGTTTAATGAGAAACTAATTTGTTCTGCAAACCTTCATCTAAAGTACAATAAAAAAACCACACACACACAAGGAGAAAAAGTTAAATATTTTAATGTATTGTTAACATTCATTTCCATTAAAATATATTCACGGTACTTAAACCCCTACCAATTCTTGAACTGGCTATTCCTTCTATTGATATACAGCTACTCACCTCTCAGAGGTTAGCGATTTAAGAATAATTGTTATAACAATAATTTACTTAGATACTGATTTTCCCTGAGCAGAGAATTACATATGCAAAACTAAATTTATAACTGCATTTTGTTGATACTTTATATTTTACTTTCCTATTCTAACATTTGGAGTCCTGGTGGTGCAGTGGTTAAGAGCTATGGCTGCTAACCAAAAGGCTGGCAGTTTGAATACACCAGCTGCTCCTAGTATTATGGAAACCTGGAATTTTACAGTGTAATTTTAGAATCTGCAAGTATTAAAAATACATTGAGTGAAACTGAACCTCAAATCATTATAACCTGTTGCCATAGAGTTGATTCCGACTATAGCAACAAGTCATTATACTTTATAGTAATTAAACGCATGTCATTTTCTATATACTTATGCAGTTCAAATTATATTAAGCATCTAAATGTGCTCTGTAAGTCTTAGTTTGGTTTAAAGTTCTGACGTCACTAATCACTGTTCATTAGTAAAATAAAGTTTATCTTAGAAAGTTATCTTAAGTTACATAAATTTTAAGTACCTAGAATTTTAATTAACAAATTTGGTGAAGTTAAATTTATTATTCTTACCCTCTCCTATTTTATATATGTTCTTAGTAATAGTTTCTAGTTCCTATTACAGTGAGAGTGTTGGACTGGGTTATACAGTGCAGACTATTGTAGATTAATTAGCTGTGTAACTTTAACCAATTAATGAAATTCACTTTTCAAGACTTCCTTTCTTCACCTATAAAACGAGGACCGTGAACTACATATATTATTCTTAAGGTGTCTCCCAGTTCTAACACCACAGTATAGTGTCAAACTATAAAATTTGTATATTTATAAGCTACTTCTTAAAACAATTTCAAAACAAGCTTTGGAAAATGTGAGTTTCTATGTTGCAAGCTTGTGAATTACTACAATCTACCTTCTCTACAGTCTTACTGATTGAGTTCTAAAATATGCTCATTTCATAAAAGCTTCTTAGAATGTGCTGAAATAAGATCAAAACCAAGACAATGCATTTGAGTATAATAAATATTGTTGGTAATGATTATATAATTTTGCTAATGTAGACACATTCTTCCTACAAAATGATTTAAAGTCAGTGTTTTATTAAATATGTAAACCTAACTAGGATATATTTAATATCTGACTTTGAGAAGTCCTTTCAAACAGGTTTCATCTCAGTTAAAAAAAAAAACAGAGAATCTTAATTTGCTTTAAGTACAACCTGGAATATAACTTACAAGTAAACAGATAAGCTAATTAATTGGCTTAAGGAGGCAGCCTCAAACACAACGGCATGTTCTCACTTAAGCTCTTCCTGCATGAGGGTGTGGTATTCGAACTCATTAGATTTATTTGTTAAAACAGAATCTTCTTAATACCAGTCAAATTAGACTAGAAGCAACATTATAACAACACTGTTACTAGAACAAAGGAACCAGGAGGAGAGAGTAAGTGGGACTGTGATGGGAAGATGGGCAAAAATCAGCCAGTGGCAACTTACAGAATTTGTATGGTAATAAAAAGATTTGAAATCAATACAAACTCTAAATTCATTAAAATTCTTTTGGTTCATTTCTCAACTAAAGAACTTTAATGATTGGTCTAACGCTTACAAGCAACATTAGGAAAACTGACTAAAATTCAGATTTATTCACATTTCTAGAACATACTTCAGACATGATTTCTCTTATTAGAAATATGGTTTTATGCAATAAAATTGTGAAGTATGACCAAAAAAAAACAATTTTTTTTTTTTTTTTGAGAAGGCTGACTGAAATTTAACAAAATCGGAGGTGAGGATGAATTTATAGAAATATGAATTCTGTAGTCAAGACGAAAAGAAACTATTTTTTTAGATCTAATATAATATTTTGTATTGTGACACTCTAAGAGCCCTGAATATTTCTAACTTCACTTGAGGAATAAGTGGTAGTTAAACAACAAATAATATTTAAACAAAGCCTGATTTTTTTAATTTAGAGATTGGCGTTCATTCCTATCCAGTGTTTGATTAACTGATGTGCAATAGCTCGGCTTGGTGGCACAAAGAATGCCTGCTGCTTCCCTTTGGTCAGAACATCTATGACCTAAAATGTACCATAAGAAAATGTATTAGGATTTCATCACTATCATATTTAAATACTATTTCCACACTTATGCAAGTCAAATAACATATGATTACTTTTATGGTGAGTAACAACTGTAGAAAGTGACAACATCCATATTCACAATGCAAAATTTTCTACAGTATTTTTATTTGCTTCAATGAGTTAGTGAGTCAGCTTTTAAAATGATCCAGAAAGATATATTCCCTTATGAAAATGAGATCAAGAAAAAACAAAATATATACTCCATACTTAATTTCAAACCAAAAATCAATTTTGGGGACAGATTTTCTTTTGTAAAATTAAAATAAAAAATCTAATTTCTACTTTTTTGGGATTAGATATAAAATAAAGTTAATTTTATTTAGGCAAAGTCAGAAAGAATTCCAGGCCCTCATTACTGAAAAATTTAGCCATTTGTTTTTTATATAAATGCTTTGAGTCATGCCAAACACAGACAAGTACTTTATTATTAATTTAGGATGACATTTTCAAAAGTTTTGGGAGTGTATCTTGGTTATACAGTTATATCATTCTTGCTCTTAATTACATTTTAAAATGAATAAGAATTTTAAAAAAACTGTAAGTAGTTTTACTGATGTTTTTTGAGAGCTACTTGTTTTAATGCTATAAACTAAAATATAAGAATGTCTAACATTCCTGTTTCTCATTTCTGAAATAATGTTTACCCATTTTAAGTACACTGAAAGGCATTACCATTGATCTGAAGGAATGGCATTTTGGAATTAGAAAATGGCACAGAATCATCATTACTAGACGAATCTCACAGAATGAGTTAATAGAGGACACATTAGTGAACACATTCTCTTTCTCTATGAAAATAAGAAACATGGTGATCCATGCATGATGAGAGGATCATGGCCATTCACTCAACTTGCTGAAAATATGCATCCTTGCTGCATGCCCAAACTGATACAGTCAGAGAACAATCAATTGAAGAAGAAAATTAAATTGAACTTTACCTGTTCTCTAGTGAACCAGCGGGCGTCCTCTATTTCATTCTTGTCAACTTTAATTTCTGTAGACACTGCCACAGCTAAGCAACCAATCATTAAGGAAGAGGGCATTGGCCACGGTTGACAAGAGACATACCGAACATGCCCAACTTTGACTCCACTTTCCTCTTCTACTTCTCTTCGAACAGCATCTTCTATTGTCTCCCCTAACCAAAAGGGGCAAAAGAACAAGTAGCTGATAAACATGCCCTGGACATTTTGTGCTCTGAATGGTTCAAATGTCTGAAAATCAATCTGGACAGGAACCCAATTCAAAGAACCAGAAAGCAGAGCCTAAAACTAGATCGGAATTCAAGAAAACATTAATTTTTTTTTAAAGTGTATCATCACTTACAGAATATCACAGTCAACCAGAAACTTTTCATTTCTTAAAGGTTCAAATTTACCAGTTATATTAAAAAATAATAGTAATGTCTCTAACTATCCAGCACCGATACTGCCGAAGCACTATGTAAACACGTAATTACTACCTCATTTATGTATCATCACTAAACAGTTATAAATTTTCACTGCATAATTTTTACAAGTGACTAATCCTCTCCTCATAAAAATTTTAAAACTTTTTTTTTACTATGTTATAAAACAATTATTGGAGATAACTCTCTTAAAGTCACTGAAAATTTAAAAATCACATAAAACAAAACTCAATACTTTTTCTTTCTAAGCAATTATTGTCCTCTAGATGACTGCTGACTTAACCAGGAAAAAATGATGCCTATAAATGTATTTTATATTTCTGATTCGTTGGACTTGAAAATTAAAATAGAAGGAACATTTTCTAAGTTAAGTGTATCTGGAAATTTAGACATACTTTATTATTCAAATACACCTTTCTATTTTTAATACAGTGATAAATTTCTTACATTAAGAACTTATGGTCATCAAAATAAAATACATAATGGAAAGGTAAGCCATGAACTAGCAAAAGATATTTGCAAGACCATAGGTAACACAAGATTAGCACAGAATACATATAAAGAACTCCTAAAATCAACAAAGAAAATATTAAACAACCAACAGGAAAACAGGCGAAGGATATAAACAGGTAAATTCAGAGAAGGAGAAGCTTGATGTTTAATATATACCTGAAAAAGATACTCCATCAGCAGCTCCATCATTATCAAATGAAAACCACAATGACATATTTCATACCCACCAGACTGGCAAATTAAAAAGTCTGAAATTCCTAACTTGGTGAAGATGTGGAATAATAGAACACTGCAAATACTGCTGGTGGGAGTGTAAATTGGCAGACTACCTCAGAGAGCAAGTTGGCAATATCTAGAAAAGGTTAAGATGCTCACATCCTATGAGCTAGCAATTCTACCCCTATGTATATAGCCTAGATAACTCTTGCAAATGTGTACAAGGAGAAGTATAAGAATATCCACTACAGTATGGTTTGTGATAGCAATAATGTTAAGATAAACTATATGTCCATCAGCAGAATGGATAAATGAATTGTAGACTATTTATAAAATGGAATACTATACAGCAGTTAAAATGAATGACCTAGAGCTACTAGAAGCAGTATAGTGATTAACAGCATGGACTTAGCAGCCAGATTGCTCAGGTCTGAATCCCTGTCCTATCACTTATTAGCTGTGTGATCTTGGGCAAGTTATTTAGTTCTGTAAAATTTCTGCATTAGTACCTATTTCATAAGGTTGTATGAGGATCATGGAGCCCTGGTGGCGCAGGGGTTAAGGGCTCAGCTGTTAACCAAAAGGCTGGCAGTTCGAATCTACCAGCTGCTCCTTGGAAACCCTATGGGGCAGTTCTACTCTTTCCTCTAGGGTTGCTATGAGTCAGAATTGACTCAACGGCAAAGGGTTTTTAGTTTACGAGGATCAAAATTTAATATATGTAAAGCAATCAGACTGAATTATTAAATTATGATCTTCAAAGGGTTTTCAGTTTATGAGGATCGTAATATATATAAAACAATCACAACAGAGCCTGGCACTACATATATTTACTACTACTATTATTATTACCTCACAATACTGGAAGTTGAGTTTAAACTCTCATTTGTTAATTAGATATATTCATTCATTTCACAAATATTTACTGAGCTCCTACTACATGACAAGCAGTGCTCTAAGGGTTTGGGATATAGCAGTGAATAAAGTCCCTGTTCTTATGAAACTTATACTCTAGTAAAAACAGATAATAAACAAATAAATATATGTCAGGTGGTGATTAGCGCTGTAGGGAAAAATAAGGCAGAGTGAAAGGGGTTGTGAATGCAGTGTGTAGTGGCTAACTAGTAGTATATTTAGGGCAGTCAGGGAAGGCCTCTTTGAAAAGGTGATGGTTGAGCCTAGTACAGAAGAAGTGAGCTATAAACCATGCAGATACCTGTGACAAAAGCAATATATAAAAGATATATATATATATACATATATATGTATAAATAGAAAACACTGAATTTTTAATAAAACAATAAAATTATTCCCCTGGTAAAAACATAAAAGTTGTATCATTTAAAATACATAGAAACTATTTTAAAGTATCACAACTTCATAATAATTTATGTGAGATTATTTCTCAAATGCTATCTAAATTTGTTTAGAAAATAGAAGTCAAATGAAAGTTATTAACAAAAATTATTAATAAAAGGCTTACCAGGTTCAATAAATCCAGCAAGGCAAGTAAACATGTCCGGGGGAAATCTTTTCTGCCTGCCTAAAAGACATTTGGTCCCATCTGGATGAATAACTTGCATGATTACTACCGGATCTGTTAAAAAAAAAAAAAAAATTAGGTATCTAAATTACAGGAAAAAAATAATTTAGACTCACTTTGCAAAGTCTCCATCTTGGAGCACAATATCAAGATATCTCCTGTGGGAACAAGACTCTTGTTACAAGACTTTTTTTCTGCTGTGATGCAGGTGAAGATGAAGTATCTGAGGGAAATTGCATGGAATACTGTCAGTAAGCTGAAGGAAGAACATTTCTGCCTTCCGCCCCATCTTAACAGCAACATTGACTGTACTCCTGGAATACCAGGCACGTTCTTTTTTTTAATTAAATTTTAATTTTTACCATTGTAATTTTTACCATTTTTACCTTTTAAATTTTTACCATCGTAAATAAAATAAATTTCCATCTTCCCTCTATGTCAATCCCTAACAAAATGGTTTTAAAAGCTAATGTGGCTCAATGATTAAGTTTGCCTTAGCCATTACAATTAAAAATAAATTAAAAAATGACAGTTCATCCCTCTAGAAGTCCAGCAAATTCTCCTCAGTAGCACGACTGAGAATCAGGAATTAAATGTAAAACACTTTTCAGCAGCAAAAACAGATGCTACTAAGCCATGCCCTTTAGTCCCAGGAGACCTCCTCAGGTGATGCTGAGTCTATTCTTTTTTCACAGTTTTAAGGGGCTGTGTCATCAAATTTCCAAACCCAGAGAATACTCAAAAATAGCAATTAGAAGAAGAAGAGAAGGTACAGGCAGACATCAGCAGTAGTGGGAAGCCAGCTCCAGGCTGTAATGCTTTGGTGATGCCTAAAACAGGCACTGAATTGTTGAGGCTTTTTAAACTCTCCACTAAGTGGATCCAGATTGGTGGGCTTCTTGAAGTCGTATCTCAATACATCAAATTTATACTGATTAACCAGAGCTAAGGAATGGCTAATTATGTACGTCTTTTACTTAAGAAGCCATGCAAATATGTAATACTTCAATATTTATAATCTTAATGGTTAACTTAAACATGATTTTTTAAAAAAGGTAAACTCTTTAGTTCCTCAAAAACTTGTCTCTCCAGAATATTCCCCAAGATTCCAGATGGCTGAGATTTCACTGTAAATGAGAAGGCTTACCAACTCTTGGATATGATGTATTGTGAACACCATAGAGGCTAGGACAGTCTTCTTTTAAACACACTCTTTTATAGCCACCGTCTTCAATTCTAGTTGCACTTCCACAGGTTGGGCAGAACTTATACCGACTGTGCCAGGCAAGAACAGATCTTGCTTGAGCAACAACCCCTTTAAGAGATGGTACAAAAAATTTTAATTCTGTCACAATTGTAAAAAAAGTAAGCAGGCAAAATGTTTTTAGGCTGTAATAAAGACATACACTGTGTTTTCTGAGTATCTGTGTGATGGAAGGTTTTAGTACTCCTATTTTATGATGTGTATTTTTATTTTAAAATAAAAGGTTTAATTCTCCAGAAGACAAAAGAAAATTAAACTTTTTATGGAATGAATAAAATATTTCTCGTGTAAGGTTGGTGTATTAATATCGTACACACTTTATTAGATCAAGCTTTTACTATTAATGATTTTTATATTTTGGGTATACATGATTCTAGCCAATAGTGACTTTTATAAAAATATCACACGACAAAGGTAGTTAAGACTTCTGTGTTTCCCTCCAAAGAAAATCTAAGAAACTGTAGGAACACTCTTTTCCTTGGTGACTACACAATTGCTGATTCATGTCCCTGTGGGATGTATCGTTGACAACTGGAGACCGCATACAATATTAAAAAAAAACAAACAGAAAACCCATTGCCACTGAGTCAATTCTGACTCATAGCAATCCTATCAGACAGAGTAGACTGCCCTATAGGGTTTCCAAGGAGCAGTTGGTAGATTTGAACTGCAGACCTTTTTGTTAGCAGCCGAACTCTTAACCACTATGCCTCCAGGGTTCCAGTATAAAAAAACTACATCTAAAAGATTTGTAGTTAAACTTGACGGCAATGGGTTTTTTTTTTTTTTTTAAATGTTTATGAAAAAAATGCCTTAGAGAGTAAATAGAATATATATATGTATCCTTTGGCTATAACTCTTACCTTGGTGTTTCAAAAAGACTATGATCTGGCCAGAAATATTACAATTGTGGCAATATTACTAGAAATGCTACATTTCAAATGCCTGACAAACTTGCTCTACTGAAAATACATTATTTGGCATCAACTAGTTGCCATCAAGTCAATTCCAACTCATGGTGACCCCAAGTGTTTCAGAGTAGAACTGTGTTCCATAGGGTTTTCAGTGGCTGATTTTTCGGAGGTAGACTGCCAGGCCTTTCTTCTGAGGCACCTGTGGGTGGACTCAAACCTCCAAGTTTTCAGTTAGCAGTTGAGTTGGTGCATTAACCATCTGCACCACCCAGGGACTCCGATTTGGCCTAAAGATTTCTGAAAGAAATAAACAGCAACAACAATACTGTAAATTGGGAAAAAATGTAAACTAACAATCCAGAAGTAAAAACAAATGTAATGCTGAAATTCAGTGATCCACAGGCAACATTAACTATCTCCCTGCTATGCTACTTTGTGATATATACTTTACACTAGAATGTCTACAGTATTTTAATATCATTTCAATAAGAAAAGATAACATTTATACTGAGTACTTACTGTGTGCCAAGCATAATGCAAAAAAACATACATATCTATAGTTATTTAACGTTTACAACAAGCCTATGAGGCAGGTACTGTCATTATCCCCATTTTATAGAGGAGGAAACTGATGCACAGGGAGATTAAGTAACTGTTTAATGTCATACAGCAAGCTGGCAAAAGAACTTCAATTTCCTCACTAGTTTAAAAAAAAAAAAACCTAGACTAGTTCATTTCTAAGATATTTTTGAGATGTAAAATTATATATATAGCTCCAAAGAAAAGATGTTTTCTTTTAAAACGCCAGTGATTTCTCCATGGGGGTAGAGAATAAAACGTACCACTCCAGCCTTCAAGGAGGAGGTGTCTATGCAGTCTCTGGAAGGGCCTCTACATCACCTAAGGGATGGTGGCCTCTGACAAGAGACCCTTTCCTCACCTCCCATTAACTCTTCAATCTATTCTATGCTAACTTCTGTTCCTTACACTCCACTGACACTCTTCTTGTCAAAGTCACAAATAACTTCACATCACTTGAACCAAAGAACCTTTTAAAAAAAAATCTGTCCTCATCTTACTCAAATTCTCAGCAGCACTCAATACACCTGACCACTCCCTCCTTAAAACACTCTGCTCTTTTGGTTTCCTTAAGCACTTTGTCCTGGTTTCCTCCACCTATGGTCACACAGTCTCCATCACCTTTGTTGACTCCTCTGCTTCTACCTGACTTCTAAATTTAGGAGTATTCAGGCGTGATTCTGTGGCTTTCTTTCCTTCTTCCTCTCAACTCTGTAATCTCAGTAATTTCCTGGGATTTAAATACCACCTTGTGTTGATGACTCCCATATAGGTTTCTCCAGTTCAGATCTCTACTCTGAATTCCAGATTCTAATACCCTTCTCTAAAAGTCAGCATGGCCAAAACTGAACTCTTGGTTTATTTATTCCAAGTTTGTCCTGCTTCCCTTGCTCTACCCATCACTCTACATCTTTTTTTTTTTTAATCAAGAAATGGTATGAGTATCTACCAAATTACTAAATTCTCAAACCTAGCAGTCATCCTTGATCCTTTCTGTCATTCCTGTATGTTTCATACCCAACCCATCAGCAAGTACTATCAGTTTTATCTCCAAAATATATCTTGACTGTGCCCCTTTCTCCATCTCTATTGTTACCTTAATTTAGGCCTTAGTCCAAGTTACCATCATCTCTCTCTTAAAACTGGGTCAACTTACAGATCAATCCTCAGTTCTACCTGAAGAATATCTCAAATTCTCCCTTTTTCTCCACTGCCACTACTCCAATCCCAGCCACTGTAATCTCTTACCTGGGCTGTTGTAATCCCCAATTCCCTAACAAGACTCCTGGTTTTCACACTTAATTACCTACAATTCATGCTCTATGGGATAGTCAATGTCAGGTTTTTTGTTTTGTTTATTTAACGTAAATCATATCATATTCCAACATTTAATGACACTTAGAATAAAACTCTTCTTCCCATGGTCTATAAGGTCCTGCACGAATTGGCATAGTCAGCAACAGAAAATAAAAGTCAAGACCTTTACCATCATGCTCAGTGTACAGTAGGTAATCAACAATTATTCATTCAATAATTGAATGAAACGAGCATGCATTAGGGTTAGTTCTGGGGAAACTAGTCTTGGCTGATTAAAACTGCTGTAACTGTCCAGGAGAGTATTTCCCTAGGATCAGAACTCTAAGAAGACTCTAATGAAGATGGACTCATTTCACTGCTTATGGAAAAAAGCGTGTCTCCTGGAAACTGCAGATAGACACAACTCCAACCCAGTTCCAAAAACCAGATTATTATCAATACATGTAAGCAATGTTCACTTCTTACCAGCTTCCTTTTCTTTTAATTGTAGAAGTGCTGGCATTGGAGGATGAAGGAAATAACAATTTTCATGTCTTTGCTTAAATTCTTCAGCAGCAATCTGACCTATACCTAGAGCAAACCAGGCAACCAAGCCATCTTCCTCTTCTTTTGGGACTTCCTCAGCATAACTCAGTAACTCTTTTTTCATTTCAAGTTCTACTCCAAGGAAAATCAAGGTGATCTTCTCAGGCTGGGCCAAATAACCCTTTACATCTGTGTAGTTCAGCTGACAAAGCCTGACTTCCGGCTGTTGGAAACTTTCTTTATTGCCACCTAGAGTAACCAAGGGATTTAAATCTGAGAAAAGGATATAAACTGTGGCTGGATGGCTTTCTTTAGCTAGTAACCAGTCAGAATTATTTCTTTTTTCACTTTTCCGGTCCAGTAGTGTCCTGCTAAAATAATTTTCACATTCTTCCACTTCATTGGTTAGGAACCAAGGCTTCTTCCCACCTTTAGCATTAGCTAACAAATTAGCTATATGCTTATAACCCCAAAATTTAGCAATATCCAGTGCAGTCTGCTTTGATTTGTTGACAATGGACCTGTCACACCTACAGATGAAAGGAAAAATTGCGGAAGAAAAATAAAATAGGAAGTAAACATTTTCTCTAGTAAATATGTCAATAAAATATTTCCAGATGCACATTGTAGCCCCTCTATTTAATGATTCTTGGAAGAAAGGACTGGCGATCCACTTCTGAAAAGAGCACAGCCATTGAAAACCCTAAGGAGCACAGTTCTACTCTGAAACACATGGGATTGCCATGAGATGGAATCAACTCAAAGGCAACTAACAACAACAATCAATCTTTTAGGGGTATATATTTACTATTGGGAAAAATAAAAGAAATAAATTTTCTGGAGAATTACTTATAAGATAAAAAAGCAGTTAAGTTTTATGTGTTATACCAAAAAAACCAAACCTGTTGCCATCGAGTCAATTCTGACTCATAGGAACTCTACAGCAATGCTATAGGATACAGGAGAACTGCCCCATAGGGTTTCCAAGGAGCAGCTGGTGGATTCAAACTGCTGACCTTCTGGTTAGCAGGTGAGCTCTTACCCACTACCGTGTTATAAGGAATTACTAGAATTCTGCAAAGAGTCCTTGATAGTTGTGGTATATAGATTTACATTTTCTACTTGGGGTGGGGGGAAGATCAGACTATCTCATAAATTTACTTTGCTATTAAGTATGAAGGGTTAATTTCTCAAGAAAAGATGTTGAACGTTTTTAGTTAGAAATTATGCTACATTTTTTTGTAACAAACCGGTCAATGCATTATTTACTAGCTCAAGGATATAAGGATGGCTACTAAAAACGTTTAAAAGGGAATATGTAATACAGAAATTAAACTACACATTCCTCCAAGTGGTACAGCTTAAAATGCTTACCCTTTCTCAAGCAGAAGCTGGACAACCTCTGGGTGCCCATTCCTTGCAGCATACATTAAGGCAGTCCAGCCATTTTCAGAAGTTTCATTGAGAAGAGATGGAGAATGACTGAGTATCGCTGTTAACTTGGCAATATCTCCTTCAGCAGCTGAACAGTGAAACTGGGAAATTATTTCCTTCTTTAGGTTTGCTTTCACAGAAGACATGTCTTCCTTAAAAAGAGGAAAATAGAAAAAAATTACTCATTTGAAATTCCTTTTTGTATCAATGGATAAATATTACCTGAGTACTCCTATATTTAGAATATTAATGGTTTTCCAAAGCAATATACTCTTCAAAGATAATTAGCAGTTAACCGTCATCACAGCAGACATTTCAAAATTGTTACCAGTTGAGAATTATAAATATAATTCAACATAGGGTTACATAAAATAATGTATAAGGCTTTGGTAACACAGATGAGGGGCCAATATCCTTAGGGAAGGAGCTGTCAGGTAAAATATTACAGGCAGGAGGGGAATATTTGAGGTAGACAGGGGTACTTCATTATGGAGCACAGGCAGGAGAAGACTAAAAGCACCAGATAGTAGCAGAGACAGAGGTTTTTAGCTGAGGCCAAACAGTATTCTTAGATTCTATCGTATCGAGTGCAGGTCCCTGCCCTCAGGGAAATTATGATCCTATATGTAATTATTCAGAAGCTTTCTAAATTTCACATGAAAACAATTTACTGCTTTACCTTGCACAATTAATTCTGCAATTCATCTGAGATTGAGTTTTGTGTACAGTGTGTGATAGAGGTTGTTGTTGTTGTGTGCCTTTGAGTTCATTCCGACTCACAGCAACCCCACAGGACAGAGTAGAACTGCCCCATAGGGTTTCCAAGGCTGTAATCTTTATGGAAGCAGACTGTCACATTTTTGTCCCACAGAGCAGCTGGTGGGTTCTAACAACTGACCTCTCAGTTAGCAGCAAACTGAGCTCTTAACCACTGCGTCACCAGGGCTTCTTGAGGTAGGGGTATGGGTACTTTTTTATGCACTGGATAATCCATATGACTCAGCATCATTCTTGAAATTACAATCTTTGTCTCACTGTACTGCAGTATTATACTTGTCATAAATCAGGTGATGATACATTTTAGATCCATTATTGGATACTGTTTTATTGGTCACTTTAGCTCTCCTTGAATCACAGCTTTTTTTAATCATTGACTTTCTATGTGTTTTGTCACTCTGTTTATTCAGTTAAGGGAAAGAAAAAAGGAAATAACTGTCCCATACCTCTTAATAAATCTTGCCTAATCATGGATTGAATGTGGCAAGGCACAAACCGAGCTTTTTTTATGGAAATGGTTCACGTGTCAGTTGTCTACGAAACGTCTCAAGATAATTTTTAGTAAAGTATCACTTTTTTTTCCCCATGAAATGATAACGTTCACCTCTTACGAAAATATCTGGGATTGTGGCTAGGCGTCTACCATGCCAAGTAATAAGTTATTTAGGCTAAAAAGAAGAAAAGGTTCTACCCCATAATTTTTGACAGTTGTTGTCTCCTGGGTTCTGAAACACCAAATTGGCTGATCAGTTTTGTAGTAAGAGTAATATGAATACAGTTTAGGGGGAAAAAAAATGGGCCCAAAAGATTAACTTTCTTATTTTGTATCTGTTCACATTTCCTTTTGGTATCTTTCTGCTACAAAAAATAAGTCAAAATTGTTCACAGGAATGGAAATATTTAGATAAAACTTAACATAGAAAATTTGTTTACAACTAAAATTCGGAGTGACTTCTATACTAGAAAAACATTTCTTAAATTTATTTTGACTTACTCCAGATTTACTTCACTTCAAAAATATAATGAGTAACAAAAGCTACAACTTTTGGGGATTTTATTCTGAAGCACAGGCGTACACTGACTCTTGTTCGGTCTCCTTCCAAGTTACCTTTCCGTGAAATTTATTTTTTTCCATAAAATCGTATTATACAGTTTCTTCAGTTAAGTTTACTTTGAACATAATTTTCACTGCCCTATCTTCTGAGGTCACGGTCACATCCTCACCCTCCCCATACTCTACCCCAAGTGATTGCAAAACTGTCCTCCAAAAATATTTCACTGCCTCAGTGAAATGCTGCTTACTCACAGTATTCTTATGAGAAAGGATGTGGAAAATGTACACTTTCACACTTAGCCTTCTCAGCAAAAAAGCCATCTATAAAAACTATTGCTCATTCCAAAGAGAAGCAGAGAAAAGTCTGAGATGCAGCTGTTCGATTTACTTTTTCAATTCTGATTGACAGGTCCTCTAGAAGGTAAGGATTCGAAGGCAGGCTGAAGTGATTCTGTCAGCTTAATGCTACCCTTGCTTTCCAAAAATAACACGCAATATTCTGAGAGATCATTTTAAATAATCTTAGATTTAAAGGGATTTTAGACTTCACCCAAATTAACATCCACTCTTTAACGATGTGTAACACTAGGCCCATGACTTGCCCAAGGTCACACGGTCCGAGAGGGGCTGGCTGTGACCTCAAACCTAGCTCTGCCACTTAAGTCACCAACTATCATTTAACTCTTTTCAATTCCTGGACACCAAAATTTAACCAATCAAGCACGACCCGTGCAGGCTCTCTTCAAATGGTCAAACTCCTTAAGATACGTTATATTCTTGCCACTACTGTGAGATTCCTTCTTTTAACGTGAAATCAACCCGAAGGACTTCCTTTGCCCCATCTGAAAGCTGGGACGAAACTCCACCAGCGGCTGGACACGCCGCGCCCCCGCCCCCTGCTCCTTCAGGGCGCCGCAGCCGAAGCTCCCGCGCTTGCGCCCGCCGCTCCAGAGCGAGGTTGCGCCACAAGACCCAGCAGGGCTCGGCCGGGCAGTGCGGTAGACCAAAGACCCCAAAGAACTAGTCATTGGTCCCAGAGGGGACACTGAAGCATAGTAATTCGCCGCTATGACTACTAACCCAAAGGTGACCAGGGCAGAAGAAACCGGATGTAGTTGAAGGACTGAGAAAATCCCGCTCTCACTTTTCCCGGCGCCGGATGGATCCTTCCTGACTTCCGGCGGAGTTCAGGTGTCCTCGCATGGCTTTGTGGGAGAGGTAGTTTGTAGAGGGATCGGCGGTGGGGCGGGGCTTGGGGTGGAGTTACTATGGGTGGGACCGGGCGGGAGGTCCAGGAGTGGGAGAAAGGGTCCTGGTTCAAGTTTTCCGTTGCCTGTGACCGAGATGTGTAGAGAGTGGTGTGGACGATGGGAAACTGTTGATCTGTGGAAACAGTTTTAAGTTTTCCAGTATTTCGCACCCAACTCCCCGGTCTTCTCTCCAACATAGTCTAATGTAACGGAGTCTTCAGAGCGTTCTTTGATGTTAAATAAACCTGGGATATTCGTTGGACCAGTTCGCTTATTTACGTGGCCTTAAGCAAGTTATTGACCTCCATAAACCTCAATCTCCAGATGTGGAAAACGATACCTCCTTGAGTTGTTATGAGGTTTAAGCAGGAAAATGCATCAAAAGCTGTTAGGACAATGCTAAACGCAGAGCTAGCACCCAAAACACAATTATTATTGTTATTTATCATTTCAATTCCTGCTCTCTCATGCCCCAACACCTACAGAAAGTTATATGAGTTCAAGATTAGAAAGCTAGGTGTTGGCAGTCTTTTAACTCCCAGCTGCCTCCTTGGCAATCAGCAACAGCTACAGAAGCCTTAAGGTTGATCATTGCTTCCTGCCTGGAATTTACATGTTGGAAACTCCTCCTCACAGTGAAGTTGTATAAACCACTCAATTTTAACTTTATGCTTCTTTCTGTGAGTAGTTGTTTTCAGTTTTTAATTATTTTAATGATTAGATAGGAAGTCAGAAATATTGCTTTAATTAACTCACTTTTTAAAGTGAGAATATCAAGATTGAATACCCAATGTCGGTATACAAACATATATTAAAGTAAATAGATTAGTATAATGGACCCTCAGGTATTATCCAGCATCAACTATTATCAATATATGCCCTCCTCCCAGCCTTTTGGATTCTTTTGAAGTAAATTGTATATACTATAGTAATTCATTAATATTTAAAAATAAACTTTTTGGAGTTATGAGTATATATTTAAAAGATAATGACTGTTAAGAACGTAACTGCAGTATTCAGTCTGACTAAAATTTTAACAAAAATTCTTAATATCGTAAAAGAGACGTTCAATATTAAAATTTCCTAAATTGTCTCATAATTTTATTTTATATTTGTCTTAGTTTCCTAGTGCTGCTGTAACATAAATACCACAAGTGGGTGGCTTTAAAGAGCAGAAATTTATTTTCTCATAGCTTTGGAGGCTAACAGTCCAAATCAGAGTCTAGGCCATGTGGATTCCTTTCTTTTCAGTAGCCCTGGATGTTCCTTGGTTCCTTGGCTTGTAGATGATCCTCACATGGCATCTGTCTTCCCCCATGTGTATGCCCGTGTGTCTCTATGTCCATTCTGCTTTTTATAACTCAGAAGTGATTAGGTTTAGGATTCATTCTACATAGGTATGACTTCAACAGATTAGTTGGCTACACTACATTAAACTGCATTATGAAAGGGTATTATATTACCTTACATTTGTTGCTGTTAGTTGCCATTGAGTCAGCTCTGACTCATGAAATGTTGCCTGGTCCTGTGCCATCTTCATGATTATTGGTATGTTTTGAGTCCATTGTGTGGCTACTATATCAATCCATGACATTGAGAGTTTCCCTCATTTTCCGTGACCCTCTATGGAGAGTCCCTGACTTAAAAAGGGGTTCCCTTCCAACAACTCCATGGTCGTAAGTTGGTTATGATGTAAGTCAAATACTTCTTTTTTCTTTTTTAGTTTTCATTATTATGCCTTTTATTATAAGTATCTTTATAAATCTGATCTTTGAACATCTGCAGGTGACCATTTGAGAATGGTAACATCAGCAAATTATGCACTGCAACATTGTATGTAATACGTATTACTAGTGGTAAGATGTACAAAAACAACAACAGATGGTCCTAAGTGTGGTTTGTTGTAATTCAAATTGTCAGGAACGACCTGTACTTTATAAAATATGATGTGCTTTTCTAGCAATTGGTCTTTTGTCATAATGTGTACAATGTAAGTGAGCTGACATCTTGCCATTCTTGCTTCTAAGAAGAATTCTTGTTGTATTTCTTTTAACATTGATTCATTTTTTGGCAATCCACGATACATTCAATATTATTTGCCAGCACCACAATTCGAATGCATTAATTCTTCTGTCTTCCTTTTTTATTTTCCAGCTTTTTTCCTTGCATATGAGATGACTGAAAAGACCATATCATGAGTCAGCTGTACCTTAGTCATCAAAATGACATCTTTGCTTTTTAAAACTTTAAAGAGGTCTTTTTAAAGCAGATTTTTCCCAATGCAATGTTGTTGATTTTTTCCATTCTTGATTATTATTATTTTTTTATTGTACTTCAGGTAAAAGTTTACAGAACAAATAGTTTCTCATTAAACAGTCAGTACATATATTATTTTATGACATTGGTTAACAACCCCACGACATGTCAACACTCTCCCTTCTTGACTTTTTTTTTTTTTTTGGTGAAAATATACATAGTTAAAGATACACCATTTCAAAAATTTCTACATGCACAATTTAGTAACATCGGTTATGTTCTTCCAGTTGTGCTCCTATTCTCACTGCAGATGAAGGTTTACAGAACAAAATAGTTAGTACACATGTTGCCCTAAGACAATGGTTAACAACCCCACTACATGTCAGCACTGTACTTACTCAACCTTGAGTTCCCTGTCACTAGCTTTCCTGTCCCCTTCTGCCTTCTAGTCCTTGTCCCTGGACTGATGTGCCTCATTAGTCCCATTTTGTTTTATGGGGCTGTCCAATCCCCGGCTGAACGGTGAACCTCGGAAGTAACTTCACCACTGAGCTAAAAGGGTGTCTGGGGGTCATACTGTCGGGGTTTCTTCAGTCTTTTTCAGGCCAGTAAATCTGGTCTTTTTTCTGTGTGTATTAGAATTTTGTTCTACATCCTTATCTAGCTCTGTCCAGAACCCTCTGTTGTAATCCCGGTCAGAGCAGTCAGTGGTGGTAGCCAGGCACCGTCTAGCTGTACTGGACTCAGTCTGGTGGAGGCCGTAGTAGCTGTGGTCCATTAGTCCTTTGGACTAATCTTTTCCTTGTATCCTGTTGTTTTCATTCTTCCTTGCTCCCGAAGGGGTGAGATCAGTGGAGTATCTTAGATGGCTGCTTACAGGCTTTTAAGACCCCAGACGCTACTTACCAAGGTAGAATGTAGAACATTGTCTTTACAAACTGTGTTATGCCAATTGAGCTAGATGTTCCCAGAGACCATGGTCCCCATAGCCCTCCGACTAGCAATTCAGTCCCTCAGGGAGTTTGGATGTGTCTATGGAGCTTCCATGACCTTTCCTTGTACAAGTTGTGCTGGCTTCCCAAGTATTGTGTATTGTCTCAAGCTTCACCAAAGATACTACTTATCTATTGTCTATTTAGTATTCCCTCCCACCCCTCCCATCCCTCATAACCAAAAAAGATTGTTACTTTTTGTGTGTAAACTTTTTTCATGGGTTTTTACAATAGAGGTCTCATACATATTTGTCCTTTTGTGATTGACTTATTTTACTCAGCATAATATCCTCCAGTTTCAACCATGTTATGAGATGCTTCACAGATTCACTCTCCGTCTCTTTATGGACGCATTGAAGCCATTTACATTCAGTGTTATTATTGATAAATGTGAGTTTATTGCTGTCATTTTGTAGTGCTTTTTTTGTGGTGATGACGTTTTCTTTGTTCCTCTTACTCTCCTGTGCTGAATTCCTTTTGTTTGTGGATTTTTTTTCATTTCTTTCATTTTTGTAGGTTTTGTTTTTACTGAGACTTTATGTTTTTCCTCTTTATTTTTATGAGTATGTTTGTTACCTTTCTTTGTGGTTACCGTAAAATTTACCCTTATCTTTCTAAGTTTGAAGCAGTCTATTATTACTTGATATTGCCTTGCCTTCCTCTCCATTAGAAGGTTCTATACCTACACTGTTTATTCCCTTTTATTGTTCTGATGTTGTTGTCATTTACAGATTAACTGCTCTGATTCCCTGCTGTATTTCTTTTGGTTTTGGATAGTCCTTCAGAGTTCATTTCCTGCATTGGTATCTGGCTGGTACGATCCTTCGTCCTGTGAGCTGAAGTTTGTTGTCAGATCGAAGGACTTCCTTTAATAATTCTTGTAAGTTTTGTTTTGTTTTTACATATTCCCTTAATTTCTGTTTATCTGGAAATGTCCTAATTTCCCCCATCATATTTGAACAAGAGTTTTGCGGGATATATTATTCTTGGCTGGCAGTTTTTTCCTATCAAGGTTTTATATATGTCATCCCATTGCCTTCTTGCCTGCATGGTTTCTGCTGAATAATCTGAGCTTAGTCTTATTGTTTCTCCTCTGTATGTG